AGAAAGCTCTGAGTGAAAGGTCTCATGAGCCGGCAGGAGCCACTCAAAATGCAGAAGGGAGAAAGGAGACCAAAATGGGATGCCACACCCTCTCCTCCCTGATCTCAGCGAGGGGCAGCTCTCCCGTTCTACCAGTTACTGGACCTTTGCTGTCGTATGCCCCACATCCAGGCCACCACTGCGCTGAATCTGCCGCAGCTGCCCACGTGCTCTCCTTGCTTCTACCCTGGTTGCCCTTCAGTCTGTTCTCCACCCAGCAGCCAAAGTCACCCTTCAAACTAAAGTCAAATTGTGTCGCTCCTCTGGTCAGTCTCCCAGTGCTGCCAAGGTCCCGCAGGGACTGGTCTCAGCCCCACACGTCTGGCCTCACTGCTTCTATGCCTCCATCTCCCAACTCGCTCCCTCAGCCCGTTCCCATGGCCCTCCCTGCTGGGCCCACACAGGGCCTTGGAACTTGCCTTTCCTCTGCAGATAATCACCACTGACCTGCTCCCCCACTCTCAGCCAGGTCTTTGCCCAAATGTCACCTTCAGTCAAGCCTTCTCTGATCACTCCATTTCAAACTGCCCCCGTCCCCTCCGACACATGCCACCCCTTCACCCTGCTTTGTTTTCCTTCACGCGCTTAGCACTACCTGACATTACAGTCGATGTTCTCAATTGCACGAGGGCTGGGCTGGCTGTCAAGTGTATGGCTGTCACCTCAGCGCTTAGCACAGAGCAGAGCAGGTGTGTTCCACAAACATTTGTTAAACAAACAGCTGACTGAAAATGCTTTACTGCCCATTCTAAAGTTTAGCACAGGTGCTTTATGTCAGAGAGGGGCAGGAAGGGGAAGGAGAAGCTGCATAACCAGAGAAGGGAGTGGGAGAGCATGGGAGCGTCCAAAGACTGACTGTCCTTCAGGAATCCCAAGGAAGCAGGCTACCAAGACTCAGGGTGGGAGGGAGAGAACAGGTCCCCGTCTTACCAACTTCTCCCATCACCCGTAAGCCCTCCTGATAGTTGGGGCCGCCTCTTCGGACAAAGATCGTGACCTCGTGCTCTTTCAGGGGGCCCTGGTAATCTCGAATCGCTCTCACGATGCCCTGGAAGCACAAAGGGCCAAACACACATGTGACTAAAAATAAGGCAGCCGTACATCAATTATTATTTACCATGATAAACAAACATACCAGTGTGTACATAACAAGGGCTGCTTTTCATGAAACATGGCAGGCCCTGGCAGTCAAGAATTTTCTGTGTGGACTGGACTATGCATAAGCTACCCGAAGGCCTAGGACATGCGATCACTTGCAGTGTTACTGAGGGGAGAGTACCCGGGTGTGACACCCTTCGATGTGTGGGATGCTGGGCCTCCAACGTCAATCAGAGAGACTTTGCTGGTCTCTCTCTTATCCCATCTACAGTCATAATTGTTACCTCTTATTGCAACTTTGGGGGGTGGGAGAAAAAAATCTATGCTGGGGTCATACGCAAGTATCAGGACATAGTCTACTTAAATGTCAACATCCTACAAAAGCTTCTTGAAGAGATTTAGGGGAACAGCCCTTGCAATGCCTATCAACTATGGAAACACAAGAGAATGTTCAGCTGTGTACCAGTTTTGTCTCTCCAGACAGAGGGCTCATTTACCAAGCCGGGAGTTTAATTTCTGTCACCCAAGCCATTTCACCCAAAGCTTTACACACAGTTCCTGCTCCAGACCTAGCCACCCTTATCACCAGTGCTGCCTTTCTTCTAGGGCTGATCAGAAGTTAAAACAAAGCTGTCAAGATTGACCTGTTTCAGATTCGTCTGCTGAATCAGGTCCAATTAGGGACGCCCTGTTTTAAGCAGGACTGATAAGGCCTGGTCCTTCACTTCTTCAGAGCTCAGACTTTCAGGGTTGGCATTTATTTATTCATTATTCTCAAAACGTATAGGGAACTATCAGATGGGGCCCATTGCTTTGAAGAGCTTCAGGGAGCATCTGAGTGTGAATAATAAATGGTCTCCTGAGGTGGCTGCCTTGAAGGGAACAAATGACTCTTGAGACATGTTAGCTGTTCTCCTTGTTGACCAGCAGTCGTCCTTTAAAACCGTGTGCCCATGGCCCTGACCAGGGCACAGGGACCCAGGGACCCAGGCTGATGGGCGCCTGGCTGGGGAAGCAGGAGTCCCAGATCATCCAAACACTTGGTGCATTCTGACCATCTGGAGGAGGGGCTGATGACTGAGGCATGAAAAGGCTAGGAGTTGCAGAGAACCCAGACGGTCTCAGAATGGAGGGTTGAAAATGACGGTCCATCAAACCAGTTCATCAAGAATTGGACCTGAGGGCCGGCTGAGTGGCGCGATGGTTAAGAGCTGGTTTGGGACGCCAGAGGGCCCCGGTTCGGATCCCACATATGAGGGCCAGTGACACTGCCCTCCACAGCTAAGATGCTGAACAACAGCTCCACCTGGAGCTGNAAAAGAAAAGAAAAGAAGTGCTTTTGATTCTGTTTTTAAAGGCAGTCTTAGATAGCACGGAGAGGATCTGGTGGCGGCAGCTGACCCTGAACTCTGTTGGCCCAGGTGAGCAGCCCATTTGCCCTTGGTTACTACCCTGCCTTCTGGAGACCAAGTGTCTCCAGCCACTGTCACCGAGATCACTGGCCAGTCCAGACTCCCGAGCACTTTGTCCCAGGAGGCAGTGACCATGGACACAATTCAGGAGCTTTCCCTACTGTTCCCTCCTCCCTTCAGGGCCCAGTGAGCTACCTGTGCATAGTTCATGGTCTCAATAGAGCTGTCGTAGGCGGAGCGGAGAGAGGCGAAGTTGATCAGCACGTCTACCTCTGGGTGTTTCTTCATGGCATCAGCCATGTTCTTGAAGACAGGGATCAGGATCTCTTTGTGACCCCAGTAAAACTTCTGCTTGTGGTCCCCGCTGTGAGAAAGGGGGAGGAGGGGTCAGGGAGGAGGGGTCAGGACAACCGGTCAGGGTTGGGGAGGGAGAGACTGAGGGGAGAGCTTTATGGAGAAAGTGGGAAAGCAGGATGTCTGCCCTCCAAGTTTCCACCGAATAGGCATCGCTCCAGTCTGGAATGGGCAGACGCTTCCCCAGAATAATCTAGCTGCTCCTCCAGCTCAGGCTTCGTGAGGGAGGAGATTAGATGAGGAAATCCCACTTGGCAGCCAGCTGCAGCCACCCTGATGAGGTGTGTGACTCACGTGAAAGGGTAGACCATGGCAGCCACCGACGGCTCGTCTCGGGAGCAGACATAGTCGAAGTCCAGCATGCCTTGCACGGCCCGGGTCTGCATGCCCCACACAATGGCCTTAGTGTGGCGGCTGAAGAGGGTGGCAGTCTTTCCTGGTGGGCAAAGACACAGCGAGTGCACCCAGAACACACACCCCCATGAGACCCACAGGGGCAGGGGCTACCTGCCAGACTAAGTCCGGGAGGGAGGGCGGCTAACCAAAACCACAAAGGAAAGTCAAGAGAATGGAATTCTGAGAACTTGGGGAAGTGGTGCCTCAATTTCTTCTGGAAAGAGGTGACAGAGAGTAAAAAGAGTTCAGAGGACCTACCTGGCTGGTAAGCAGCTCAGCAATGAAGAGAGAAAGGACTCCCCATGAAGAGAACAGGCCCAACAGGAGAATAACTACAGGGCTGGCTCAGTTTCACAGGAAAGGCGTGTAACAGGCCTTCTGCCTATATGCAAATTATTTTTAAAGCCACTGGAAAAAAGTGTTCAGCTCTCCCAATTTTGGTGACAGCAGGACGTTACACAACTCCCCAACAATCCTTATCGCCTCGAAATCTGGACATAAACCATCTCAGGTCAGGATTTGGTTCACATGATTCTAGGTCAGTGTAGGTCCAATGAAGAGGTTTGCTCAGCCTTATCTAACTGAGGTTGCAGCCCGGGCTCTGGCTCGAGGCGAGGTGGGAGCAGCACGCTGGCTATTCCTCCTGAATTCCTCCCTCGGCCAGGTGGCTCTTTCCTACTCAGAACAATGCTCTTGGACGAGCTCTTGAAAGGGGTGAAGGGCCGAAGAAAGGAACTAAAAAAGCTGGCAGAAGTGGGTTCCTCAGCCTGGAAGGGAAAGGCTCTTTCACCACCCTGCAGGCAGGTGACCTCACCCTGTTTCCCTGCAAGTCCCACTGGAGGAAAGCAGCCCTCAGGGGAGGCTCTCAGCTCCCCTGGGAAAACAGAGCACTGAGCTCAGTGGCATCTGGTATTAATTAACCTACTGTACTAGTGCAGGTTTGGCTACCAAGTTCAAGGTCTGATTAAATGAATTCAAGAGATCCCTTTCCCAAGGCATGTAGGATTCTCATCCTCACAGGCCTGACTCTTCCATTACAGCCATAAGCTTCTCATGACATAGGCTTCTGATGTTGCAAATACCAGGGATTTACTGTTGCTGGACCCATCTGGGTTCCGATGAGACATGAGACCACAGAACAAGGGACGCCACCTAATCCAGTGTCCTCACTTCCCTGTCCCAGGAAATTGAAGCCCAGAGAAGCCAAATGACAGAGATCCTAGGTCATCTAGCATCAGAGCCAGGATTACAGCTCAATTGTGCAAGCAAGGAGGAGGAACACAAGCCAGCATGGCCCCGTCACTCCCCCTCCTTAGGGGAGCCCCACCCAAGTCAGCGTGGGCGCATGTGCACACGCACACATCTATCCACCCAATAAGCTACAGAAATCAGGACAAAGGCTGGAATCTCTAAAACTCCCCCCCGCCTGAAAGGGACAGAACCAGAGTGCTCACCTCCTCGAGCACAGAGGAGCCAAAGCTGATGGGGGCGAGAGGAAGGGCCCACCTGGGAGGCCACCCTGCACAATCGGTCCACCTCTCCCACTTCTCAACACAGCCTGGGGACTGACAGTAAGCATAAACCCCTCCCCCAGCGTGGAAGAGCTCTCAGAACTAGAGTGGCCCTGTTCTCTCTGCACAGGGCTCACCCTCAGGTCATGCCTTTTAGGAAGCAATGGATCTTGCCACAAGGAATAAGGGCTGCATCCTGGCCCTTCTGGAGGGATATAAGTAAGCAAATCTGCCTAGTTACTCCTTCCCCTCCCCTGGGCAAGGGGTCAAATATCATCAGAAGACTCCCCTTCCCCAAGGTGAAATCTCCCACAGCTGTGAAATGTCAACAAGTGAAACGGAAGCCCTGATGCTTTGAACAGGTGAACGTGGTTCTGTGCGTCTGTCCTAAACACTGACCTCAGACACCAAAAGCCCAGACCCCTTCTACACTACACCCCTTTCCGCGTTTCTCTCTCCTTCTCTATGCTGTCTGCCACCCAAACCCCAGGGAAATCTGAACTTGTCCCTGATACTGGAAGCTCTGGCTTAAAGTCAGCAATGGTGAGACCAAAGTGGGGAAAGTAGGAAAATGACGCCATCATAAGACCTTGATCAGAATCGGGGTGGTCCATGGCTCCCCTCGTCCCCGACTGTGCTCTGCCATCTCCCCCTTCAGTTTCGATGGCTCCTTCCTTTCTAGAAGGGTCCTCCCTCCTAGGCACCACTCCATTCTCCAAGGCTGTGGATCTGACTCTGCACCCCCCTCCC